TATCGATTTTTCGTGAATACTCGCCTCCTCAGGTGGCCTGTACAAACACGAAAATTAGCTATCTACGTAAAATAAAGGCAAGAACGACTTTAAAACAACACATAAAAGACGTTACATTTAAAATATGACAGACAAGAATTAAAACAAAACGCGTATGTTTCAAAATTACAGGCAGACACTTTGTTTATTTGTATTTAAATTTTAGAGGCCTTTTGTATTATCTGTTTTATCAAATCTGTCTGGTTTTTTAATAAAGATATATTAAGGGGTACGCAAGACCGACCATATCTAGCAACTGTCACCTTTCCCATTCCCCGGCCGCCGTAATTGCATTCTTGTCCTCCTATTTAACACTTCAGCTTTTTTATGTTATTACACTAACTTATTGGAGGTTCCTTTGGGGCGACCAGCTGTTAGACGATAATGCTTTGAGACCTAGATCAATTTATCTTAAGTATTATGGAGTCTGTTGCGACTTCTTCAGTTTGCACGGATTAAAAGCCCTAACAACCGTAAATAGGGCAATAAAAGTGTGTATGATACATAATAGCTGAGTAACGCAGGAAAAAGTGACGATTTACAGCATAGTCCTATTCAACTGTTAAAATTTTACGATTCCGATATTTGCGAACAATAGCATTTTTCTGAGAAAACAAATGGTATTGTTATCAGTTATCAGATTGTGTATTTCTTAGTTGTACATAAATGAGTCACTTGTAATAGTCTTTCAAGTTGAGTCACGTCGTTATGCCTTAAGTTGGCCGCCAGTAACACGAAAATAAGGACGTGACGCATTGAACAGAGCTGCACTAATTAGTTATATGTTCAGTTATTCTGTAAAATATCAAATTGAGTACAATGTGAAGATAATCGTAAACAAGAACTGGCGAAGCGTTGCATACAGAGCTGTTTCAGACGGGGTACATACAGTCTGATATGATTGATTGATTGATGGATGGGCGACGCAGTCACGGGTCATGTTTGAGATAAACGTGTTATTAAAAAAACAACTTCGAATATACATACATACTAGTTATGTACTTACGTGAGAATCATAATGGTTCTTATTTCGAAGTTCATTTTTTTAAAATTAAATGTTTAATATGCATTTATTTATTTTTTCAAATAACACAAAATATCCATACCGATATATTGATAAGCTGGTGAAATTTAATAATACAAAGAAGAAGAATAAAAGAAAGCTTTTTACTAATGTAAATGTTTGGTCAATGCTTATATTAATTACAAAATAAATATTATCCTATATAAAAATATATTTCGGCGTTATCTTCATTTTCAATGTTGCAGGCGGCAGTCAGGTCAGACAATAAATAATTCATGATAGGTATTATTATGTTCATAAAAGATTACCACAACGTGCAAAAACTTTTTAAAAAGACTGGAAATGCAATTTGTTATATTTGAGTCGACTATTATCAAAGCCGGCAATCTGACTTTTGGACAATTATTGGTAAATGAGAAAAACGAATTATTGACTTTGTATTCCATTGGCACTCACAAAACTCTTCTGAACGACATCTTAGATAAATAACAGGTTAAGTATTAACCTTTATTTAATGCAGGTTTTGAACCGTATTCTTTGAAGGAGACGATTATATTCAAATCAATCTGTATTGACATATCAATAAAATTTTTTTGTCCAAATGCACAGATTGCCACCTTTGATAATAGACGACTCATTTATAGTATTATTTTCGAGAAGGTTCAGTATTGCTCACTCATTATATAGGATTAAGGTACAAACCCAAGTTATTTGTATCGAGTTTGTCCAAGAACGTCACTTTCTAGTGACTCATAGGAAGAGAGCTATCTCGCGCAGACATTCTCAATGAGGAAGAGGGTAATAAATAAATTCATCTCTCCCATCTTATGTGGCTTCGGAGCCCATTAAAATGCACAATACTGCACTTTATACAATAACGCCCGGCACTGGAACCAGAGGGGCACACGCTATTTTTAGATCCTTAAATTGATACGCCAACAAAGGAAAGGATGTAAGTAATTAACGCGCTTTCTCCACTAAAATTTTAGTAGTGCAATTACTCTATGATACCGTACGATTGAAACTACGTAAATTTACCATAAAGGCAGCCCCAGACATAAACTATCACGTCCAAAATGATATAGGCCAGACGCAACACATGTGCGTTACAAAACAAAAAATTAAGTACGTCCATCAAATTTCCCAACATCTCCACATACAATTAAGCATTCTCCGAGTGAAATAAGAAAGCCACTCATGGGGAAGCGTAAGTACATTCATTGTTCTCGGAAGACGTCTTACACAGACACCGGCCTGACCTAATTGAAAATAATGGTGCCTTATTCATCGAAACGATCCCCGAAGGAAGTCTTCCAAATGACGTTTTAGATGAACAACGGGTTAGTATTATAATATTTAAATAGTAGGTACTAATGCGTTCTTTAAACTGTAACCTATCATTATCGAAGTTATGATATTTGTAATACGACGAACAGTATTACGATTTTATAACCTTTTTATTAGTCTAGTCGATAGTTTTTTTTTAGAAACGAATATCACGGAAATATTTTTTTACTTAATAATTTTTAAAATGTTACGCTTTTTTTTCATAATTTTGATTTAATTTTCTGTCATTCGGTTTGTATTTATATTTACATAATTATATCTATTATATATATTTTTTCCTGTGGGAAACGGTAGGTATAGGTCACGTTACATGACGCTAGCCCGCACTGGGAGGCACCACCATTCTACATATTAATTATTACAGCCGAAAAGCAGTCATGGGTTTGAAGAGTGAGAAATTCGTAATACAACTGACATTACAACCTCGTATAAGAGAAAAACAGTGTTCACATTCGGATCTCTATGGGATTCGTTACCACTTAACACTAGGTGAATCGTGAGCTCGTTTCACCCAACTATGCAATTAATGAAAAAAACCAAAATCAAAAGGACATTTCACACAGTTTTTTTTTTTATTTCAATGCTAACGTGTACTTTTGCAAATTTTATCCTTGCCTAAAATATCCACAATCATTTAAATAGTTTAAATGAAGATTTTTTAACAAATCATTTACATACTTTCAGATATATACTTGCTGTATATACATGTACTAGCTGTACCCGTCCGCTTCGCTGGGCATTTAAAACTAACATTATTATTTCTCAACCCTACAAAGATTCTCATCATTAACGCCCCCGCAACCGGTGTAGGGAGTCCAACACTCATATAAATATTAGCCTATCCATTAAGTACACGTATTTTCTACATGGATACCAAGTTTCAAGTCAATCGGATGCATGGTTCAGTAGTTATAACGGAACATCCGAAAAAACCACTGTAGATTTTTAAATTAGTTTTAATTCAGTCACAAATTTACCAAAAATCTAATTCATTGTGACGGGAACGTATTAAATGTCTTGAATTTAAATTATGAAATAAAAGGCATTTCGTTATGTACGTACGTAAACTGGCTGCGGTGAAGTGCGGTGTAATCAGACGGCTGCAGGAGAGTCGTGGGCGGAAATCACACACGTTTTAGCGAATACAGCAACGCTTGAGAACGAAACTAGTATCTCTGGTACCGGTCGAGCGTCGAGATGCAACCAGTCAGTTAATATTTTCGCAGCAGATGGCAACGGGTATGTCGCGGTCATTTCCATAGTAAGACGATAAGCGAGGCTAAATTTAGCATGAGCGGGATGCGCCCTACTCATCTGTGCCTGGCATACACCTCCGCGCCACCTTCCTGCTATCCTTGTATTTTACTATGCAATTGTTGTTTGTTTTATATTTCAATTCAATATATATAGTGTTAGGCAAACACTATATATATTGAATTTTAACAGTTGAATAGGGCTTTGCCGTAAATCGTCACTTTTTCCTGCGTTACTCAGCTATTATGTATCATACACACTTTTATTGCCCTATTTACGGTTGTTAGGACTTTTAATCCGTGCAGACTGAAGAAGTCGCAACAGACTATCATACTTACGAAAAAAAAATATAAATTTTTTGCCTAGAACTTTTATATAAGATCTATTAAACCAATAGGAATTAAAAACGAAACAAAACATATTCTACTAGTTTTATTGAATTAAATATTGGACTTAATTAGACAGTCCACATCGCGCCTTTCATATATGACGAGAAAACAATTTAATGGGAAGATCTTTATGATAATTTTCCATAATATAGTGCAGTCATCGTTAACAAGAAAGTTGCAGATTGATTGTTTCCCGGCCGCAAGTGGTACCTATATCGATTCTACTCGTGTGAGTATTATCCGAAGGGTAAATAAAAAGAAGGAAAAATCTCAGTTGGCAAAATCAATTCCCCTACGAACGGATGCATATGTAAACTCAACTTAATGACAAAATATCATTAAAATTAAATATATTTGCAGCCAAATGCGCAGCTTTCTACGCTCCGGTGCGCGCACATGCATGCGCGAATGCAGTTCTTTCGAAGACGATCTAAAATAAATTACCATACTAATATTTTTGAATAAACGTCCTGGCGAAATCGATCGAAAGTAATCAATTGAGCATATTAATGACCGCGAAAATAATGCCCTAGTTAAAACGATCGATCCTCGTTCGATGTCAAAAAGTAGCCGAAGGCGCTGTAGTCGGCGAAGTGTAAATCCTCCGCCGCCGCGCCGGAGGGTGCGTCTTGTGAAGGTGTGCGTGCGAAATTTATAATGGGTCGAATGCACCACGACCGCAACTCCAAAACAAGAAAAGTAACAATGCATAATAATTTGGTTCACGAAATACGGCTACGACTTCTTTTTAGGATGTTCAGATATCATTCATCTAATTACTATCTGTAGATCCCTAAATTCCATCAAACATTTAACAGTTATGTTAATTTAAAATTTTAGTGCATAAAAGAATCGAATTAACACAAAAAGAACACAATTTACACACGATTAAAACGGCATAAATTTGTATCGAATATTTGAGGGTAGAAAAAATGTTTAAAACTCACCAGGCTTTCACGCGAATCAGGACCTCGCCCTCACCAACGGTCGGCTCAGGTTTTTTGAGTATCTTAACGGTCTTGAGACCCCCGAAGCCGGTAAGTACTACGGCGCGCATTTCCTTGGGCGGTGGGGTCTCATCCTTTTTCTCCTCGGTAGATTTTTCGGGCGTTTCCTCTTGCGGTGTTTCAGTAGCACCATTTTCGGTCGGGGTCTTCTCCGGTGCTGGAGTCGCGGCGGCGTCCGTACTCTCAGTCATTTTGATGATAGAGGCGGGTGGATCTAAACGAGTAGCGTTCGGCTGCAAATGAAGCCCGGACGAGAGAACCGGCCGGCAAGACGACACGTCGCGGAACGAATGATCGAGCCGAGTAGTCGAGCGAGTGAAGGGAGCGCCGGCCGGCGCGCAGCGAGGGTGCGGGGAGCGCTGAACAGGTGGCCGCGCCGGTCTCCCCACCCCGCCGCCCACCCGGGACTCCGAGCTAACTTATTGCATCGAAGTCGACACGAAAACCCTGTACAGGTCCAAGTTATATGCTCTTTCAGGTCTGCCTAGATTGGCCTCGAGCCTTCGTCGCCTTCCGAAAGTATACTCGAGCTGTACGTGACCTGGCAACGAGATGGATCGATACAGTGATGTCTGCCGTCGCCCGCACCCCGGGCGTAACCCTCCTCCGCTTCTCAGGGCTGCCATTTCAGCGGGCCGAAACCTAATCGATGTATGTCAATTTGAAAATGACTGGTTATTCAAATATCTACCGGTAGTTGTTCCAGCGGTAGCAAAATTTATGTACTCACAATATTCGTAAGCCTCCCACGTAAAAGATTTATGAGAAATCAAAAGCTCGATTTTTACATTGAATACTGGCGTAGCCTTTTGTTTTTCTGATAACATTATCAATTATGTTTTATTTATATTGTGTACTACAATGAGGTTGTTAACCGATGATCTGACCTTCATTGTGCAAATGTATACAATTATACCTAATGTTTATATTTATGTTGCACTTAACTGATATCTCAAGGTCTAAAGTCAAGAGCTTAATACATCCTTCGTACTCTACTTCACGTATAGAAAAAGAAATTATTATGGCAACGAAGCTTAGGAATTAAATTTATCCTCCCACGGCCTAGTACTTACTAACAGCGGCTTTTATTAAATTCCGTCTGGACGCAGTTATCGTGAGAGGAATATATTTTTTATTTAACATAATTATTTGCACACTGCGATTATTTCTCCGCTATCACTATCGCCGACGCCCAACACTATAAATAGTATATGAGTACTAACACTCAATCAACTTGAACAGTAACAGCTTACATACTTATGAATTTCATCAAAACTGAAACTTTATTACACTGTTGCGTGCCTATTCGAACCTAGTCGAGCCTTGCGCGATATCTCACAATCTTACAACCTTATGCGGCACTTAGGTTTTCAAACAAATATACCAGCATTATTTTAATTATAATCTTATCTATTTATGTATGCCCATCATCACGCCAGCAAAATAAAACTCAGAGTTTTTTAATTCATATTTTATTGTATATGTAATTTGATCTTATAGCATATTAGGCCCAACCTGCGGTTTCACCAGCTTTAAAGTTGCAGTCCAAAAATAGGTAGGTACCTACTTTCTTGGTGAGAAACACATTGCATTTTCCCGGGATAAATAATTGATTGTGTCACTCTTTGGTCGATTAACTAACAGTCGACTTACGTAAAATTACAAACCTGCGAACGCACTGTCATGTCAATTACCGTGACAAAAAGTATCCACGCTATAACCTATCTTCGTGCGAAGTTTAATTAAAATCCGTCCAATAGTCTTTGCTTGAAGAATTCATAATATTAAGCAGGATAGAAATATACAGAATAATATATGTAATTATAGAAACAATTTAATAAGCACATTGCGCAGCGGCATTCACTATGTGATGACCCCTTTTTTTCCTACCTAAGCTGATAGCCTTGAGAGGCTATTTCAGCGTAACCTTGACTAGTAGGTGAGCTCACGGAGCTCAAACCTGACGACGTTGCTAACACGAACCCTAGCAAGGGCCGTGCTTCGCAGAATCTACCACCGGATCGGAAACGCGACCCACAGAGAAGATCCGGCGAGAAACTCAGTGGGCTGTGTCTGTGCGTTAATTTACTCGTCGAGCCCTTCGTCGCAAGCGACGGGTTCGACCAGAACGATGACCGGTGCTTGAGGTACCTAAAAGCACCGTTAGTGGATCGGAAGGATCCGAAATGACGTGTTTTGGGCGACGTCGACTGCTTTCCATTCTCTCCGCAGGATCGGGAATGGATGATCCCTATGATATCTCGCAGATCGCCAGGGAAATCATCTAGTTTAGCAAAAAAAAAACTATTATCCAACTAAATTATGTACTTAAATTCATTATTTCACAACATTGTAACTTTTATTTAAACAACCTAATATGACATCATAAGTCGCTATACCAACAGACTTTTCACTGTCCCAAGTTCAATAAATTTTAATGTTTGTTATCGTTTCGTGAATTTTCGTGTTAGATAACCTTTTAAAATGCCAAGTTCCAATATACTTTATGAATGTTTATATTCCTCCCGACACCACTGCTAGTATCTCGTCACCAATTAAACGCGGTAACTCCATACCCGCCGTAAAATCTTTGACCAGCCCTTGAGCCCATACCGTTAGCTTCAAAAGTTATGTACTTAGGCGTCACTCTCGACAGTATGATGAAATTCGGGCCCCACATTAAGTCAGCACGCGACCGAGTCCTGTTCGTACTCGGTCGTCTCTACCCCATGATCTGCAAACGAAGTAAATTTTCCCTTCCTAGCAAGGTGTGACTTTAAAAAACTTGCATACATACGTTTCGCCATGACTTAGCAAGTGTAGTGTTCGCTAACGCGGCCCGTACGCACATTAACTCTCTCCAGGTCATCCAATCCCGTTTATCCAGGATAGCCGTCGGAGCCACGGTATGTGAGGAATGTAGATCTTCACGACGACTTAAATCTAAAACCAATACGTAAATATCTTAGACAATGGTCAGAACGCTACTTTGAAAAAGCAGCGCGGCACGGTAACCCTCTTATCGTAGCCACCGCTAACTACATATCCGACCCAAGTGACGGGGCAAGGCAAAGCCGCCATCGCCCATGGACACGTCTTGTCGGATCCCCCAGATGCACTCTCGATGCTTTTAGGCTTTTCAAGCACCGGTAGCCATCCTCATAGACCTCGTCGACTCGAATTAGCCCATAGACATAACCCACTGAGTTTCTCATCGGATCTTCTCAGTGGGTTGCGCTTCCTATCCGGTAGTAGATTCTGCGAAGCACTGTTCTTGCTAGGGCTAGTGTTAGCAATTCTCTCAGGTTGAGCCCGTGAGGTGAGTACCTACCGGTCCGCGTGAACTTGGAATAGCCCCTTAGGCTACGAACGATTAGGTAAGGAAAAAAGTTTCAGATATGTAGTTCCACTCGAACGATAATCCAAGCCACGCGTTTTTGTTGGCAACATTACCATCGACGTGACCCGATCGGTAGAACACTTTCCCTTTGAGAAATTCATAGTTACTTTACTACACACTACACGTTACATATAACATCCTCCTGGCTGAGGCTGTACTCACCCACCTATCCTGATGAAACTGAAAAGGTGTCCGCGCCACCAGTAATCATTCAATCATTAAAAAACATACTACACGTCACATACATACTACAGCTAATTTGCAGTTTTCACTTCTCCCACAATTGAAATGTTTTTCATCGAGCGAGTTTTAGTTTAATATGTTTTGTTAATGTGCAATGAAATTCTTTTTAAGAGGATCTTGACCAACTTAATTCATTCTGGTTTTAATTTGAAAATACAGTTTCGGCCTCCTAGGGCACGTTATACTATGTATTTATTTCCCTATCTACCTTATATATTTCAGACCACTGACATTCACCGCTGGGCTTAGGGCTCACTTACGCCTCGCCACAACGACCGGTACTGCGCTGCCTGCATCCAGCTGATTCCCGCGAATCTCAACAGGTCTTCGGTCCACCATGCGGGAGGCCTACCGACGCTACGTCTTCTGGTACGCGATCGCCACTCGGGAACTTTTCTGCCCCAGGGGCCATCTGTTTTACGAGTAATGTCAGCTGCCCACTACCACTTCAACGTCACAATCCTTCGGGATATGTCGTTTACCATTGCTGACTGATCTCGCCGGAAAACTTCGAGCATAGCCCTCTCCATTGCTCTTTGGGTGATCTTGACCCTTGTGATAAAGATGGTTGTGAACGACTTAACTATTAGTAGCGGCAATTAATACATTACGGGCCGCAGAGAGAACCAGATCAAATAGTTTTTTTTATAGCTTACATAGGCGAACGAGCGCTCGTCCACCTGGTGTTGAGTGGTTATCGGAGCCCATAGACATCAAAAACGTATATACCATAACATTTCTGTAATGGCGTTGAATTTAGGATACTAAACAAAATGTTTATTTTCTCAACCAATGAAAATGATGAACATCGCAATACCTCACCGAGCGCTGCCTCCGCTATCTACCCGAAACATGAGATTGAAGTCTCAATCTTACTGTATTATCGCAGTCCTTTTGCTTCGCGATAGAAACCAAGCACGAAGCTCCCTACCCATGCGGGTTCGTAGTACGAGTAGACTATTAGTAATAAGTAGAGTAGACTATTGAGTAATAACTCAAATTTATAAAAACAAGTTTAATATTTCCTGAACACATCCTTAGTAGCAGTCGTGTTAGATACGTATGAAATTAATTAAGTTAAACAAAACATTTACGTTGAAAGTAAAACTACAGAATATATACACCGAAAACAATGTTTATTTGATTATTCTTTGGCAAAATGTTTCTTATTTTCTTCTATATCATCGTAATAATACTCCTCGTCTTCGTAGTAGGTATCATCAATGTACTCGTCGTCGGAATTGGATCCGCTATCGTCCGACAACTGCCAGTCGTCGCTTGTTTTCCGTAACTGCTTGGCCAATTTATTTTGTAGTATCTGCAGATAGATTTAAAAATTATATAATAAAATCAGTAAGCTATTAAGGATCTTACAATAAGACGCCCGAACGTCCATAATGGTATGCCAATTTTTTTTTTCCAATTATTCTACCATTCGCTGGCGGCTAGCCTAGCGTTAGGCTATTCCCGGAGCCAGTGCTGGATTAAGCAAGCGCGGGGCCCGTAGCAAATTATTTCAAAGAGCCCTTAATCTACTATGGGTTCTTAAGTATAAAGTAGTAAAAAAACACTGTGTCGGGTAAGAGTGCTTGCATACGTCAGACTTTTTGTAGAGCTATATAACTTTTTCTTAATAAGTCACTCAAAAAATTAAGCTCGGGCAGAGATGAGTGGGTTTAAATATGCGGGGCCCCCGTTCGCGCGGGGCCCGTAGCAATTGCTACTCTTGCTATATGGTTAATCTGGCACTGCCCGGAGCCCATACACATCGTCATAACCAATGTCTGACTTGGGAGCCCGAAATCTGGAAACCGACTACCTTACTCTCTCAAACAGAATGCGTGATAAAACCGCAACATAAATGGGTGCTACAGACCAACGCGGCCTTCCCACGTCTTACCACGGACAAAACACAAATTGATTTAAATTTTATGACGCTCTTTGGATACGTGTTTTTTTTTTTGCTTAAATGGACGATCTCACTTCCCAGTTGGGGTTAAGTGGTTACCGATGCCCAATAGACATTTATAACGTCAATGCCTGTCTGAGTATATGCCGTGAAGCAGAAATAGGCGGGGTGGTGGTACCTACCCGTGCGGACTCACAAGACGTCCTACCACCAGTAAATATCGTTTAATATACATAAGTTAATAGAAAAATTCATGTCTTTTGAAGATCGAACCACGGCGTTATTGCTTGACGAAACCAGCCAACTTAGATTAGATGGTTGTAGCTTCAAACTTAATTTGCAACGTTAAAAATCAGATATGAAATGACAAAGATGAGTCACCGACGGACTGTCTGATGCTGGGCAGTAACGAGGCCCACGAATCCCGCCGCTGGAACCTCTGGGTCTGCGGAGGGACTTCGGTTCCCTCTGTATTCTGTACCGTATGTTCCATGGGGAGTGCTCTGAGGAATTGTTCGAGATGATACGGGCATCTCGTTTTTACCATCGCACCGCCCGCCACCGGAGTAGAGTTCATCCATACTACCTGGAGCCACTGCGGTCATCCACAGTGCGTTTCCAGAGATCTTTTTTGCCACGTATGTACCATCCGGCTATGGAATGAGCTCCCCTCCGCGGTGTTTCCCGAGCGCTATGACATGTCCTTCTTCAAACGAGGCTTGTGGAGAGTATTAAGCGGTAGGCAGCGGCTTGGCTCTGCCCCTGGCATTGCTGAAGTCCATGGGCGACGGTAACCACTCACCATCAGGTGGGCCGTATGCTCGTCTGCATACAAGGGCAATAAAAAAAATAAAAAAAAGCTTACGTGCAAATGACAATAGAAGTCAATGACATTGGAACAGAAATTTTACTATCCATGAAAATGGAACGAGAAATTTGCGATGGTGATATTCAGAGCGGTAACACCAACCCGTGAAGAAGTGTTCATCATTTATACTGTTTAAGAATTAAATTTACGCTATTCGACCATGTTTTATCGCATTTTTTATTCCCTAACTATTTACTGGTACCCTAAGGAGCTATAATAAGGTATCCTAAGGCTCAACCTGAGAGAAATTGCTAACACCAGCGCTAGTAAGAGCAGTGATTCGGAGAATCTACCACTGGATCGGAATCGCGACCCACTTAAAAGATCCGGCGAGAAACTCAGTGGGCTGTGTCTATGGGAATATCGCATTGCAATAATTACCACGAACTGAATTCTCACCTGTCTTTTAAGTAAAAATTCAGCCAATTCCTTATTTTGGGTGACAGTGTCGACTTTGATCGGTGTGCTTTCATGTATTCTGTAACTTATAACTGGCGATTCCGATTCAAGATTACTCCAAGCGTCTTTACTTTTCTTCCTTGCAGCTAAGAGTCTCATCATTATCTTGGCGTGGTCTAAGCCGTAGATCGTGTGAGTCATTTCTGGTATTGGACTCTCTTGACTTGGTTCTTCTATTTCTAACTGCCGTATTTTGGCCTGTAAAAATAATTTATTTATTTCTTGTTATTTAACTCATATTATTCCCATCATATTTTACACCCTGTAGATAAAATCCAATTATACCAAACCGAGAAAATAAATCGTTTTCAATTATTTAAGTAACAATCAAGTTCAAAGCTTTGCAATTGTTAGGTTAGCAATATTTTTTTATTTTTCACCTCAATTACTACATTTGAGTCGTCTATTATCAAAGGTGGCAATCTGTGCATTTGGACAAAAAAAAATTATTGATATGTCAATACAGATTGATTTGAATATAATCGTCTCCTTCAAAGAATATGGTTCAAAACCTGCATTAAATAAAGGTTAATACTTAACCTGTTATTTATCTAAGATGTCGTTCAGAAGAGTTTTGTGACTGCCAATGGAATACAAAGTCAATAATTCGTTTTTCTGATTTACCAATAATTGTCCAAAAGTCACATTNTATTCCATTGGCAGTCACAAAACTCTTCGGAACGACATCTTAGATAAATAACAGGTTAACTATTAACCTTTATTTAATGCAGGTTTTGAACCGTATTCTTTGAAGGAGACGATTATATTCAAATAAATCTGTATTGACATATCAATAAAAAATTTTTGTCCAAATGTACAGATTGCCGCCTTTGATAATAGACGACTCAAATATAAGAATATAAATTAAAATAAGACATGACCTAATAAAGGTCTCAGTTACCAGGTCATAAAATCAATTATGACAAGTTTTATTTTCCAATTATTCTACCATTCGCTCGCGGCTAGCCTAGCGTTAGGCTATTCCCGAAGCCTATAAACATCGTCATTAACAATGTCTGACTTGAGAGACCAAAATCTTGAAACCGACTACCCTACTCTCTCAAACGGAACGCATGACAAAACCGCAACATAAATGGGTGCTACAGACCAACGCGGCCTTCCCACGTCTTACCACGGACAAAACCAAATTGATTTTAATTTCATGACGCTTTACGTTTTTTTTTTGCTTAGATCGACGATCACACATCCCAGCTGGGGTTAAGTAGTTACCGATGTCCATAGACATTTACAACGTAAATGCCGCCACCTGTCTTGAGATATGAGTTCTAAGGTCTCAGTATGCTTGCAACGGCTGCCCCACCCTTCAAACCGAAACGCATTACTGTTTCACGGTAGAAATAGGCAGGGTGGTGGTACCTACCCGTGCGGACTCGCAAGAAGTCCTACCACCAGTAAAATATAATAATTGCAATAACTACCACGAACTGAATTCTCACCTGTCTTTTAAGTAAAAACTCAGCCAATTCCTTATTTTGGGTGACAGTATCGACTTTGATAGGTGTGCTTTCATGTATTCTGTAAGATATAACTGGCGATTCTGATTCAAGATTACTCCAAGCGTCTTTACTTTTCTTCCTAGCAGTTAAGAGTCTGTTCATTATCTTGGCGTGGTCTAAGCCGTAGATCGTGTGAGTCATTTCTGGTATTGGACTCTCTTGACTTGGTTCGTCTATTTCTAACTGCCGTATTTTGGCCTGTAAAAATAATTTATTTATTTCTTGTTATTTAACTCATATTATTCCCATCATATTTTACACCCTGTAGATAAAATCCAATTATACCAAACCGAGGAAATAAATCATTTTCTATTATTTAAGTAAGAATCAGGATCAAAGCTTTGCAATTGTTAGGTTAGGTTAAAACTCAATGTAGTTTCCTGTGTAGAATGAGACATTTTATATAGAATGATATTATTTTATAAAAACTACACGTCAAGCCGCTGCTACGACATGAAAGAAGGACAAACAAATAATAAAAAAAACAACACACTTTCACATAATTTAAAATATTAGTTATAATGGGCGGAGCATCACGGTCGTTGTAGACGGTGACTGTTCTGATACCATGACCATTAACTCTGGCGTTCCACAAGGTTCGGTGCTCTCCCCCACGCTTTTCATCCTGTATATCAATGACATTCTGTCTATTGATGGCATGCATTGCTATGCGGATGACAGCACGGGGGATGCGCGATATATCGGCCATCAGAGTCTCTCTCGGAGCGTGGTGCAAGAGAGACGATCAAAACTTGTGTCTGAAGTGGGGGCGGGTCTCCAAGTGGGGTGAACTGAATTCAGTTCAGTTCAACCCATTGAAGACACAGGTTTGCGCGTTCACTGCGAAGAAGGACCTTTGTCATGGCGCCGCAATTCCAAGGAGTATCCCTGCAACCTTTCGAGAGTATTGGGATACTTGGGGTCGACATTTCGAGCGATGTCCAATTTCGAGGTAATTTGGAAGGCAAAGCCAAGTTGGCGTCCAAAATGCTGGGAGTCCTCAACAGAGCGAAGCGGTACTTCACGCCTGGACAAAGACTTTTGCTGTATAAAGCACAAGTCCGGCCTCGCGTGGAGTACTGCTCCCATCTCTGGGCCGGAGCTCCCAAATACCAGCTGCTTCCATTTGACTCCATACAGAAGAGGGCCGTTCGGATTGTCGATAATCCCATTCTCACGGATCGTTTGGAACCTCTGGGTCTGCGGAGGGACTTCGGTTCCCTCTGTATTTTGTACCGTATGTTCCACGGAGAGTGCTCTGAGGAATTGTTCGAGATGATACCGGCATCTTGTTTTTACCATCGCACCGCCCGCCACCGGAGTAGAGTTCATCCATACTACCTGGAACCACTGCGGTCATCCACAGTGCGTTTCCAGAAGTATTTTTTGCCACGTACCATCGGGCTATGGAATGAGCTCCCCTCCACGGTGTTTCCCATGGGCATGTCCATGGGCGACGATAACCACTCACCATCAGGTGGGCCGTAAGCTGGTCTGCCTCCAAAGGCAATAAAAAAAATTAAAAAAATACTATGGATATATAATAGATAATAATATAAAACAATGCCCAGACTGACTGACAAAGCACAAGAGAAGCAAGAAACAGGTACTCTACTAGTTTTATATCAATTTACCAAAATGCTGTGGGCCAAATTACCTTGATGTCAGGAGATATTTTGGTGTCTAGTGTGAATTCTGTCTTAAGTAAATGCCCTGGATCAGTCGGTGTGTAGTTTTCTCCAAAATCAGCTTTGAGCAATCTATTATCGAGATCTAATATCCGGGCTTCATGCATATCTGTTTAACAAAACGTTATTATCATAGATTTTCTAAAACTGGCTATTAAATAACTGTTATACAACATTCCACTAATGATTCTGATGCTGAAATTTATCACAAAAAATAATTTTCGACCTACCCTTAATTAAATACATACTTGAAATTGAAATGAATTCAACAGAACATAAATTTTAACAGTAGGCTGCAACTTGCATTTTGTCCCTGGCAATGTTAATGTTAATGAACAATGGTGACCACCATCATTGACCATTAAACGGGCTGAATCTCAGAGCTTTGAAGAAAGTAAAACTCAAACAAGGCTTTTATATTTAGAATTGGAACCCAACGTGAAAGTTATTTATGAACACATAATTTGTATGTATTTACTTATAAAATCTGATATTTACCAGAAAATGTTAGCTCGTTATATAAACATGATTTAATATATACAAAAAGTCACATTTTTTATTTGTAGCTGCCATAAGGGGGGGTTATGCCGTAATCGCCACGCTTGGCAGGCGGGTTGGCGATCGCAGTGCTCGGTGCCTTGCACCGGTAATGCTGCTGCCCGTTACCGGCCAGGAGATTTCCACACCGAGCGGTTTTTGTTGATGGTTATTCCGCCATCTATCGGTCGCCAGAGCCCTGTTCGTCAATCAGCAGGATGCACCACGTGCAGGTAGGGTTGGCATTTGAGACAGTGTGGTGTTAATTTGCCCCATTACATCCCAGTAGACTGGGAGTAATTGGACTGGCAGTAACTGGATGCGTGGACTGGCAGTAACTGGATGCGTGGAACCGAAGATCGGGTTCAGTGGCGAGCTTTGGGGGAGGCCTATGTCCAGCAGTGGACTGCCGCAGGCTGATGATGATGATGATGATGGAAAAGTCACATATTACACAAAATCTTACTCGTTAGAACAGACTTTGCCTGCTCCACTAAATATATTATAAGACATATGAATTGTTCATAATTCAATGCTCAATTTAATTAACATTACAGAATTTTCTAAATATAGCAAAAAATTAAATTCAAAAATGTTTACTTATTTTTTTACAAACCTTTAACAAAGACAATATAAGGAACCTGGCCCATGATCCTGAGCACAGACAGCTCATGCCTCAGAGCTCCTGCAACAGAGTTCAATGTGGCTTCCGTCTCTACATCTGTCGAGGTACCTTTGCATATCCAATAAACATGTACAGTTTGAAAATCAGATGTTACATTCACCTGAAATGCAAAACAATTATTTATTAACTTTTATGTTAATATATTTCATATTTTGTTTTTTCATTCTAAAAATAACAATAAATGTATTTTTTTATAAAAGAAGCTTTAAGCACAATGGAGATATAATTTGACAAATCAAATTATTTTAATGCATTTCTATAACTGCTTAAGGTGAGAACTTAACAAGCAATGTATGCTTTGGCCTGGATTCTAGTAATAATACTTTGAAACCAAATTTCAAATCACATAAAAAGTCACTGGACACTGAACTTTGATGATAAGATCCTAAAAATAATTCTAAATTAATAAAAGGATAGCTCATTAATTCAGCATATTGTTATTTGACAGTCTAGGATAAAAGATAAAAAAAATACTAGTGTTCAGAAAAAACCTAATATTCCAAGGAGAGGTTTACTTCAGCTAGGCCCTTTACAGGGGTGGGGTGGCTTTGGCGGTGTCACTCGATATCGCCAATGCGTTCAACACCCTGCCCTCGTCCGTGATAGGGGGGGCGCTGGAACGACACGGAGTGCCCCCCTACCTTCGCCGGCTGGTGGGTTCCTACTTGGAGGACAGATCGGTCACGTGTAGCGGACACGGTGGGATCGTGCACCGGTTCCCGGTCGTGCGCGGTGTTTCACAGGGGTCGGTGCTCGGCCCCCTTTTGTGGAATATCGGGTATGACTGGGTGCTGAGGGGTGCCCTCCTCCCGGGCCTGAGCGTAATCTGTTACGCAGACGACACGTTGGTCGTGGCCCGGGGGGAGTTTTGCTGAGTCTGCCCGTCTTGCTACGGCTGGGGTGGCGCATGTCGTCGGCAAAATCAGGAGATTGGGCCTCGACGTGGCGCTCAGTAAATCCGAGGCCATGTGGTTCCACAGGCCCCGGAGAGTGCCACCTGTCGATGCCCATATCGTGGTTGGAGGCGTCCGTATCGGGGTCGGGGTGCAGTTGAAGTACCTCGGCCTCATTCTGGACAGTCGTTGGACCTTCCGTGCTCACTTTCAGAACCTGGTCCCTCGTTTGTTGGGGGTGGCCGGCGCGTTAAGCCGGCTTCTTCCCAACGTTGGGGGGCCTGACCAGGTGACGCGCCGTCTCTATACAGGGGTGGTGCGATCAATGGCCCTATACGGGGCGCCCGTGTGGGGCCAGTCCCTGGCCGTGGGGGTAGCGAAGCTGCTGCAACGGCCGCAACGCACCATCGCGGTCAGGGTCATCCGTGGTTATCGCACCATCTCTTTTGAGGCGGCGTGTGTACTGGCTGGGACGCCGCCTTGGGTCCTGGAGGCGGAGGCGCTCGCCGCTGACTATCAGTGGCGAGCTAACCTTCGTGCCCGGGGCGTGGCACGTCCCAGCCCCAGTGTGGTCAGAGCGCGGAGGGCCCAATCTCGGCGGTCCGTGCTGGAGTCATGGTCCAGACGGCTGGCCGATCCTTCGGCTGGTCGTAGGACCGTCGAGGCGATTCGCCCGGTTCTTGTGAACTGGGTGAATCGTGACAGAGGACGCCTCACTTTCCGGCTCACGCAGGTGCTCACTGGGCATGGTTGCTTCGGTGAGTTCCTGCACCGGATCGGAGCCGAGCCGACGGCAGAGTGCCACCATTGTGGTTGCGACTTGGACACGGCGGAGCACACGCTCGTCGCCTGCCCCGCATGGGAGGGGTGGCGCCGTGTCCTCGTCGCAAAAATAAGAAACGACTTGTCGTTGCCGAGTGTTGTGGCATCGATGCTCGGTGACGACGAGTCGTGGAAGGCGATGCTCGACTTCTGCGAGTGCACCATCTCGCAGAAGGAGGCGGCGGGGCGCGTGAGAGACGCACAGGCCGGCCGCCGTCGAGCGGGGGCCAGGGAGGCGGATATCGCCCAAGCCCTGGCCCTCTAAGTTGACCTGGGGACTGGCGAAGGGGGCCTAAGAAGACGACGTGCAAGCTGCTCTGCACGCGTTTTATGCATGAGCATCCGGGTGATGGAAGGCCGCTTATCCTCAACCCACGCTGGTTCTGACCCAGCGGGGTATTCCGTAGGATAGACCATTCTAACCGGCGCCATCTAGGCGGGCTTCGGATAGCCTGCCGACCGAGAGGGCTGATGGTCGTGGCGCCGACGACCGCTGGTCCGGCGTCCCGAGGGGGAGGGTGATGGGAGATGTGCTCCGCACTAAACGCTTCACTTTCCCCCCTTTGCCTTTTCATGAGTTTTGTCTCATGCGAGGTTTGGACGTTGGTTGTTGAGAGACAGGAGGTTTTAGTCGCTTCCAATCCGACATGCCCCGCCCTCCATCCCCAGTGAAGGGCGGAAGTCCGGCGATTTCCAAAAAAAAGGCCCTTTACAACAAGGATAAAGATGTAATAATCTGAAATGTGAGGGGTACTAAAAGACATTATTGACATTTTATTTCTTAAAAATAAATGTAAATAACACTAAATTGCAGTTAAAGTTAATCTACTTTGCTTGGCTTTACAGTTAAAGTTAGTTAACTTTGAGTTCTTTCAACAATAGGCAATAAAACTACAGTGAAATCTACACAGCACACGGCAGTGAAATATTTAGTCATATATATCTAATGAGTTCTACTTACTTTTGATATTTCAATCCCTCGTCCGATAATATCCATTGAAACCGTTCCTGTGGACATCAGATCAGTAATGTGTTTCATAAACATCTTGTTCAGCATCGCCACTCGGCGTATTCCACGCTTGCCGGGTTCATGGGTAACTTTTGTTAAAGATTTCACAGAGGGCATTTTGTTGAATTCTAACATTGAAGGTGCATACCAGTGCCTAATAACAAAGTAATAAAATCTATTAAGATTCTGATGTAACTCATTGTATTTCATAAGTTTTTTAGTATCAGCTTTTAATCTTATTTCTTACTTTTTTGGTTTCGGATTAACCATTTTACATAATTTTAAACTTTGTTTTTTGATACTGCACGTAACAGACGATACATGGTAAAGACGTGAAAAGCTTAACATTACTATTGAAAATTATAACCTGGCGTAAAGTTTAAATTCTCTTTGTAAGGCCTTTTTAGATAAAATGAAAATATTTATGTATTTCCTATCTATCTATCTATCTCTTAGGTTTATTATGTATTTCCAAAAGGCTTTCAGTTTGTTTTCCTTGTTTTCAATGTCAAACTTTTATTTATTTAATTGTCAATTTATAGGCAAAAGGAGCAAAATTCATTCCAGTAAAACTTTTATATTGTAAGCAACATCCAGCATTTTTGAAAAATGATCAATTGCAATTAAATAATCTCTCAGTGAATAAGTGGGAAGTACCCAACAATTCAACGAATTTTTTCACAATGATCAAAAAAGTCATATCCATGATTATTTAATTTTACATTGTCATTTTATCAGACTTATGTTCTTTTACGAAGACTAAACGGTGAACAAGTCAGCATTATAACATATTCACATTCGAAGAAACACTAAGCTAACAAAATTAAACACATAAAATTGTCTAAATTAAACTAAAGTCAGTTCTGTTAACTTCATTTGTTAAGTTATTCTTATTAAGTAAGTTGAGTCAATAAAGCAAACAGACCCTTATAGCCTATCAGGGTGCAATTTTTAATAAGGTACATGCGTGGTTGTAGTAAAAGTTTGCTAAAAAATAAGAAAAGAGGTCTAATCAGATAATTAAAAAAAAGGTTTTTGGAAACATTTTTACAAGGTCATAAAAAAAACTGGAGCATTCTTCGACGAAGAACTCTAGCAGAAATCAGAATAAACATATATTAAAAGTAAACATTAACTTAATCAGCTTATATGGTTTTAAAATTTGGTATAGTTTTAACGTTTAGTGAAGACCCTCAAGCTAAAAAGAGATTTATGTTATAGAAATGTAGTAATCTTTTCAATAATTTAATAATTGCAAAACCCCCTCATCTATACAGTTAATTATTTTGGACAAATGTCGTGGCTATTAAAAACCTCTATTCAACACGGTGCAAATTATTGCAAAAGAGATTCCAGTATTTCCATAAAAAAAATTTTTTGGTACAATTTTTCCTTGTTAGGAAAGGCAAGGGGATCTAAGCCCATACAGCCTATTTCCATAGAGAAGTACGTTTGACAAAACAATTTTTAATTTGACGTGTTGGGTGGGCGCGTGGGAGGGAAAGGCGTGTGTGCTATGTGCAACTATTCCCGCCAAGTTGATGTCAAATTTGTCAAATTCGGGAGAACTTTGTGCTGCATATTTATTTTGTTGATCTTGTGTTAAGAATTTTATCTTTCTGAAATTAGGTAACTTAATCGAATTAATTCAATAATCATGCCCAAATCAGACGAAAACGAAGATTGGATTGAGAAGATGGAGGATCTTTGTTCTAATTTAAACGTCGATTCATCAGCTGCGAAGAAATCGAAAGATTCTTTTTCAGAAATAAAACGAAATTATATACTAGATGTAAGTAAAACTATCATTGCCTGTCTTTACTGCGCATTTAATGAAGCACTTTCGAAAAAGTTCAACCTTAAACACTTGATCGCAAGATACACAAGTGCAATGGTACCAGTGCTTTATTTAGGGGAGTACTGATGTTCCAAATAAATATTCGTACAATACTTTGTGTATCAAAACTTATTTATATTCTTTACGTATTTATTTTGTACCAATAATTTCCGAAACAACATGCATAACTTTACTTCTACATACTTCAGTTCTTCATGACACTAAAACAAGAGTTTTGAATTATGTTTTGGTAACATGTCTTTTATTTAAATCTTTGTCTTTATTGTCTTCGGGATACGTGTATGTATTAATTCTCTAGAAAGTGACTGAAACTCTTGTTGATTTACATTTACTTTGTTGAACTCATCTTGTATTAGTGTCTAATTGTATATCTACTGAAATTTTATTAACAATTAGAGATATTTGCAGCCCCATTTCAATTTTAAATTAAATACTAACATTTAAAACATTTGAAGCAACTTTTCAAGGTATTTCATTTTTCACTATAAACAACTTGTTCTGTATTTAAGAGTACATCAATCACATAGTAGGCAGAGGCTTGGCTCTACCCCTGGCATTGCTGAAGTCCATGGACGACGGTAATCACTCACCATCAGGTGGGCTGTATGCTCCTCTGCCTGAAAGGGCAATAAAAAAAAATAGTTACAAGGCTTTATCTCAGAAGAAGTCAAATAAACAACAATTACTTCCTTTCATTTTCTAGGGTGATGAATTACATTGGATGGCATGCGCATTGTATGTGGCTTGTAGGACATCGGTCACTCCTACAGTGCAAACAGGAAAAGTGGTGGAAGGGAACTGTGTCAGCCTGACAAAACTTTTGAGATTATGTAATCTAAGGTAACAATAGTCTTGAATTTTACAAACCAACAATTTCACTCCTAAAACTTTCTTACTTAAAACAGTACACACAAAATTATGTAAGCTTAGATTTTTTTTTAATTTGTAAACAGCTTAATTCAGTTCTTCATCAAAATAAAAAACTGGATGGAGATGGCCTCAATGTCTACAGATTTTAAAGAAAGGATATCTCGTTTGGAACACAAGTTTGCAGTCTCTTCAGTACTCTTCAGGAAGTTCCAACCGATTTTCATGGAACTGTTTGTTGGGTTAACAAATGAGCCTGTAAAACAAGTCTCGAAGAGAAGACCAAAGTAAGTTAAAAAATATTATATATTTTTATAAAAACAAAATCATTTTCTAATGTAAATTGTTTGGTATGTTATTGAACACAAATCAAATTGAAACTTCTCATTATTAAATCTGATTTTGATATTTAAGTAATTCTGAATAGGATCTGAATTCTAAATTATTAACTATAACAGTACTGTATATAATGAAAGCTATACCGAATTTTGGTTACATGTTGTTTATAATGGATTACTGAAATGGAAGACAAATCATAAAATTCGTTTANAAATTGTTTGGTATGTTATTGAACACAAATCAAATTGAAACTTCTCATTATTAAATCTGATTTTGATATTTAAGTAATTCTGAATAGGATCTGAATTCTAAATTATTAACTATAACAGTACTGTATATAATGAAAGCTATACCGAATTTTGGTTACATGTTGTTTATAATGGATTACTGAAATGGAAGACAAATCATAAAATTCGTTTACTTGTTTAAATTGTAGTTACAATAATCTAAAAGATATGTCATATTGAGAAATATGACCATGCGAGGTTTACTAGTAGGTACCAATCTTTTTTAGAAACATGTGTTTAAGATACCTGTGTATTAGATTACCGGTGTTTAAGATTAACTTCCCCATTGTAGGATTAAAAGATTATGTATTGTGAAATAAAATCACCATAAATCTGGATAATTACTGTTACTAAGATATAATACCACCTAAGTTCAGTGAAGGTAGCATAACCTCTTGAGGTTACTAACATAGGTAGGCATTAACAAAAAAGTGATACCACCATTCTGTTTCTATTACAAAGCAGTCATGCATTCCAGTTTTAAGGGTGGAAATACTGCTTAGTTAAGATTAGAACCTCATGTCTTAAATTGGGTTTTAGTATTGACATTGTGTTGTCAGTAATCTTCAGTAAGCTCTTAAAATCAGGTAGACCCTCAAACTATCTGGTGCAATAAAGAAAAGTCAATAGACGAAGAACTTTATAATTGAAATATTACTATTCATTCCTCATAAATGATTTTGTTTTTCAGACTGCAACCATGTTCAACAAATGCCTTGTTTGAGTTTACATGGTGTTTGTACATTTGTGTGAAAGGAGAATTCCACAATTCTGCTAATGACTTAGTAGATATGTATCACATATTACTATCATGTTTGGATTATATATTTGCCAATGCATTTATGGCCCGAAGGGTAGACATTATTAATCCTGAATTTAAAGGTAACAAAAACACATTGTAGTTGATTACTTTTACTCTTACCCTATTGTTCTAAAATTCATTCATTCAATTAGTGTTAGATAGAAACTTTAAATCGATAAGTTTTAAGGTCTCTGAATAATCTTTAACAAATGTTAATGGAACATAAAATAAAATATAAAATCGTTAAAGAAATGATTTATTTAAGAAGTGAATTTTTATAGATTAAATTATTATTTTTTGTTCTAGGATTACCTACAGATTGGACTAAAAATGATTTCAAAATGCCAAAAACTCCTCCATGTGTAATTTCTACTTTATGTGAGATCAAGGATGGCTTATCGAAAGAGGCAACCACCATGAAAGAATATAGCTGGAAACCTGTTATTGATTCTTTTTTTGAAAAAGGGGTAAGATAATAATAAGATCACAAGTTTATTATGTATACCACTGATTTTCTTGGTGGTGTAGTAATTAGTGCCCCTGACTGTTTGCGCCAAGGGTTGTGGGTTCGATTCCCACATTGAGTGAACATTATGTAATGAATAGGTTAGCTTGCTCTCTGTGAGTGCTTATTATCTATAATATGTATATATTGAAATGTATATAAGTATGTTTGCCCGTCGCTGGTACCCATAACACAGGGAATCCTAAATTGGGGCCAAGTTACCATATGTGATTTGTTTTCAGTTATTTATTTATTAGTAATACAAGATCTAGGTGTACTTGTTTTGTGTATGGAGGTGCTTATATAGATTTATAACACAATTTGATTATATAATATGTAATTTGTATTTATAGATACTGAAAGGCAATAATAGTGAGCCTACGCTTGGAATTCTAGATTTGGGAGTGTTTGATGTAAATCTTAAATCACTGAACAACTTGTATGAAACATATGTTCTCAGTGTAGGAGAATTTGATGAAAGGATTTTTTTAGGTAAGTCACACTTTGTAACAAATGAAAAAAATTGATGTCTTCAAAGTATAGAAATACTAGCGACCCGCCCTCGCTTCGCTTCAGAAACATTAAAACACACATGAAACAAAAAAAAATTAAAAAAAGTAGCCTATGTTCATCAGGGACAATGTCGGCTTCTAATGGAAAAAGAATTTTTCTAATCGGTCCAGTAGTTTCGGAGCCTATTCGAAACAAACAAACAAACAAATCTTTCCTCTTTATAATATTAGTATAGATTTTTGAATTATTAATGGGTGTTTAATATGTCAATGCTTTCATCTAATTTTTTTATAGCTTAGGTGGGTGTTACAGGCTTATGGCTCATCTGATTTTAAGTCAGTACTGGAGCCCATAGGCATCATAATGTTGCATTTAAGTAACAGACATACAATATATATACCAACTACATTAAGCACACTTGAGCTTCACTTTTATTTTTGTAATTTGCTGGAATTATTGCAATTCTTTTTATTGTAGACTGATCATTTCAAACAACAAACCTGAAAAATGTTGACTCCTTTTAATTGACATTATGACACTGTCAAATTTAAAGAATTTTGTTTAATTAAGATGTCAACATATAATTTAAATCCCATCCTAACATATTTTATTGATAATACTAATGACGGTATGGTATATTAATATCAAAGATATGACTATATTTATTACAAACTTCATTAATGGTTTCTTATAGAAACAATTTTACCTTCAAGATTATAAATATTAGTTATTATGAAACTAGTAGTAGGTTTTATGAATGTGTTGTGTTTCAGTAAGAATGCACTAATTTGTAATAATGTAATTTAAATGTAAGCAATGCCAATTAAAAGCAATTCAGTTGTGCATGCTTAACTGTTTAATCTAACTTATAAAGTTTAATTTATAAATTTAACATTTGAATATTATTTGCAGGCGAACAAGCAAATGAACAAATTGGAATGAAGAACAAAGTGTCTGGTGATGAGATCTCAGAAGTAATAGCTAATTTCGGTCCTGTAAGTTTATGTGTTTACACTTGGAATTTTTCATAGTACTTTACTGCCTCCAACTAACTATAAATGAGATATATATTTAGGGTATCATTGATGGAAAGCATAGGGAAAATTAAATACTGATATCTGATTAGCCACTTCATGATTTTTTATATATTTACATTGTTAGATTCAAAGTTAAGTAGTTAAGTATTCAATTATTTTAGTCTACTCTCACATTTGGAAGTACATACACATACGTAGCTATACTATACTATACTATGCAATGCTGGATTAAATAAGTGATCTAAATATAGAATGCACAATGTTGAATTGAATCTTTATAAATTTGTTGTTAGCACTATATACCTATAGTAACAACAATTAACATTGACATAATGAGGTAGGAGTTTGTTTAAAATGTTAACAAAACCACCAAATCTCGGTCTTTTCTGTATACCGATCAATGATGTGTTTCAGCTGCTAGGTTTTTTTTGAATGGCTTAGATGGGTGGACGAGCTCACAGCTCACCTGGTGTTAAGTGGTTACTGGAGTCCATAGACATCTACAACATAAATGCCGCTACCCACCTTGAGATGAGTTCTTAGGTCTCAGAATAGTTACAACGGTGGCCCCACTCTTGAAACCGAAACGCTTCACGGCACAAATACACAGGGTGGTGGTACCTACCCGTGCGGACTCACGCAATGTCTTTGCGAAGTGGTCTTTTATATAACGCACTCGTGTGGGATCCTCGCGAAGCCGTTCAAAAGCTAATGCTGGAAAAACTACACAAAAAAATTTGCAGGTTCCTATTCAAGAAAATGTATGGATACTATCCGTTCTTGTATTCATCACTTTATGTGACTGGTATGGTCGGGTTAGATACTCTTGAGCTGAGACGGAAAATGACTCTTATGGTGCATTATTATCAGTTATTGCATAACAAAATCAGCGATTTATTGTTGTTTTAGAAATTACTTAAGCTAATTATTAGTACCTTACAAATGTTTTGGCATTCCCGATCCTGCGGACAGAATGGAAAGCAGTCGACGTCGCCCAAAACACGTCATCTCGGATCCTCCCGATCCACTAACGGTGCTTTTAGGTACTTCAAGCACCGGTCACCGTTCTCGTCGAACCCGTCGCTTGCGACGAAGGGCTCGACGAGTAAATTAACTCTCAGACACAGCCCACTGAGTTTCTCGCCGGATCTTCTCAGTGGGTCGCGTTTCCGATCCNTAAACAGTCGGACATACATAATAGAAATACTAGGAACAAACACAAGCTTGTTGTGCCGATGAGTAGGTTACATAAGATACGAAATTCATTCGGGTGTTTGTCTGTGCGCCTGTACAACAAAATCCCACATGATGTTCAGAACCTACATATACATAGGTTTAAGAAAACTATTAAAGAACATCTGTGCAATAAAGCTTACTATAAAGTCAATGATTATCTAGAAGATTGCACAAAGTGGGAATGAGTTGCTCGCTCCAGGCATTTCAATATATATTGTAGTAATTGTTACGTTATAATACTCAGTGTAAAAAATACATATTTAAAAAAAATGTAATATTAAAAAAAAAAAAAAAAAAATAATTTTATATGTAAAAAAAAAAGACATGCCCGCTGAGTTTCTTGCCAATTCTTCTCAGGACGGAGGCTAGTTCTTGTGAATTGGCGGTAGTTCTTTTGACGTTCAACAAGTACGTACTTTCATTTATGTTGAATAAATTTTTTTTGATTTGATTTGATTTGAACGAACGATATTGAGTCTAATCATGTACTATTATGATACAATTTGAGTATTACTGCATTAGAACCAGATGGTAATAAGCCCGTGAATAATGTTGTTCATGAAAGCGATTCGTTCATTATTTTATTCGATCTCTGCAGGGACTGTGTTGTATACGGCTTTTTTTCTTAATAAGTTAGTAAATATTTATTAAGTTTACAAAAAGAACAATATATAAGTACTATTCGATTCACACAGTGTTACTAGCACTGAACTCTCCTGCCCATTGTTATTGCGAAACAAGCTTATGCAATTCAATTCCAACCCATATTATTATTCGACCGCATGTCTCAAGAATGTTGATCCCGTTCACGTTGTATCTATAAGTTCCGATAATTATCGATCGCAGTCAACCCACTGAGTTTACGGTGGTAGATTCAGCGAAGAGCTGTTCTTGTTAGGACTAGTATTAGCAAATTCTTTTAGGCTGATCGCCGTGGTCTCGCCTACACATCCGGTGAAGCCAGAGTAGCCCCTTGAGGCTATTGGCACTAGATAAAAAAGATGTGTGGTGTCGTGGACACCGAATAGGAACGAAGTTCCTTATTATAAAAATATTAATTTTAAGTTCTATTCGAGGTATAAAGAAAATAAAACTGGAGGTTTCGCAACAACCCACGGTCATTCGGTAACGTGCGAACTTATTGTGGTACACTTCATTCACGGTTGTTTGCATAAGAGTTAGTATATTGCGCAAACGAACGCTCTGAGATCGCGGTCAATGAAAGATAAAAAAATATGTTATTTTTTGTACATTATTTACAAAGTTAAGTCGTACACTGTGTGCATTACTAATAAAAATCTTACGTTACGGACGTTTTTTCCCGGTTAGGGTACCCTTCCGCATCGTCCCATAAGGAACTTCGTTCTAAAAATAATCGCAGCTAGTTCATTTTATATCTACGTGAATATAATATAAATATGATTTTGACATACGACTTTCAACTGTACTGGAGGCTATCGATCTTGAGTTGCCTTCACCCGAAACATCTGCAAATTGTATAAAAATATAACGTTCATATATATGGTACTACTCCGCGGTATAAATAGATAGGTTAGTCGGTCATTTGCGTGCGGGCTCACAATGTACCCTAGAAGCTTTATGTTTATTGCATAGGTGAATGATGAAGGTCACGGCCCACTTATAGTTAAGGCTTACACCGGGACCCGTAGACAAATCGTGAATGCGACCACCTATCTTAAAACATGAGCTCAAATCCGGATTGTATTAGAAAAATTGGAAAATATGGTGTTAATTGTAAATCAGAAGAGTCAGATCACTCAATACGAGTATGAGGCCACAGATACGTTAAGTTGGTGGTACAAATGGCGCACATAGTTTTGTAGCACCGCTAAGATTGTTCTCACTCCAGGATTACATTATAACACATATACAGGATTACATTACGTTAAATATAAATAAAAACTGCCGTAGCAGTCTAATATCATTTCTATTTTATATATCTTTAAATGTATTTAGGCTCTTTTAATATTTTGGGGTCATTAACCTACTGTTCACAATAGTAGAAAGGAATGCCTTTATTTCAGTTAGCAGTTATTAGATTTTATTTTGTCCATAATCATCATCATCATATTGACAATATGTAAATTCATGTTTCGTTATGTTTGTGGGTATTATTTTATAGCCCTGTCAGTTCCGGGAATTATGCGCTCTGTATACTCTATATATAGTTCCTGTATATACATATTAAGAATCGATGTCGTCGTGGCCTAAAGGATAAGACGTCCGTCTGGTTTATTCGTGTTGAGCTATGCATCGGTGTTCGAATCTCAGGCAGGTACCAATTTTTCTAATGAAATACGTACTCAACAAATGTTCACGATTGACTTCCACGATGAAGGAATAACATTGTGTAATAAAAAACAAACCCGCAAAATTATAATTTGCGTAATTACTGGTGGTAGGACCTCTTGTGAGTCCGCGCGGGTAGGCACCACCACCCTGCCTATTTCAGCCGTGAAGCAGTAATGCGTTTCGGCTTGACGGGTGGGGCAGCCGTTGTAACTATACTTGAGACCTTACAACTTATATCTCAAGGTGGGTGGCGCATTTACGTTGTAAATTTCTATGGGCTCCAGTAACCACTTAACACCAGGTGGTCTGTGAGCTCGTCCACCCATCTATGCAAAAAAATAATAATAAAAATAAGTAAATCTATGGTACTTTGTTTTGAACTGTGTATCTAAATGGGCGTCTTTTTTTAATCGTTTGACTTACTGTAAACAGTTCAACTTACCGGACTTAGCATATGCGGCGCCATAACTCCCACCTTTTCATGAATGAGAAAGTAGAATTAATTAGTAAGCTTACTTTTTAACACGTTGAACGCCATATGAAAAATCGAGTGTTTTCATTCTGGTCACGGGGCTCACCGGTGAGCCTTATCTTACTGAACCGTTCGGGCCATGAGGGTCACCCGTGAACCGCGTGAGGGCTCCAACGTAAGCGCTTCCTACATAGCCATAGTTTGCAACTATCAAACAAAACGAGTATGGAAGTGAGCGGTGTAGCCCTTTAGCCGAACCGAACGTTTTCGTTTTAAAATACAATAGAAAGGTTTCGTTTTTATCAAGATTAAGCCTTTTAAAATATTTTAAAAATAGACGGTAAAATTCGCTACTTTTTATCTTCAACTAGCTGACCCGGCAGACTTCGTAGTGCCTCAATCGATAAATAAAAGACCTAAACTTTTGTATAAAATAAACTTAACACAAACAAAAGGAATCCGTCCAACAGGGGACACATCAAAGGGAAAACAAAATTGTTATTTTTATTTAATTCTGAGCATTTTCATATTTATCTACCTTTTAAACCTTCCCTGGACTTCCACAAATAATTCAATTAAAAAATTAGCCAAATCGGTCCAGCCGTTCTCGAGTTTTAGCGAGACTAACGAACAGCAATTTATTTTTATATATATAGATTATAATAATATGTATATAATTATATCGTGCAAATTATCGCATTTTTAAAATATGTAAGTTGATAAAAATTACTGATTCCCTGAAATTGGCTTGCCCGAATAATATAGTACGTAAGGCCCACCGGTGGACCCTATGGCGTTCAATGTTTTAATTGTGTTTCTTGGATTATTACGCTTTAAAATCATACTTGTTGGCGTGCAGGTTACTATAATACGTAGCAGGGAATGTCATTACTTAAATGCAGTTCAACTTCAACTTCTTGTCTTAAGTCGGAAGGGGTTTGTAAGTCTACCACTGTCGGTACCACATACTGCATACAAAGCGATCAAGAGTTTCGTGCTTTTCCCAAACTAAACGTAAATCTAAAAACGCCTACAACTACCAGGGTGCCTACAGATACTTTGTACTTACAGTATTCCCTACCAAATAATTTAGGCCTCATAATACTGAAATAATGTTGGCGTTGGATAGCCATTCAAAACTAACAGTAAAAGTAACTTCAACTTATTTTTCAACATTATCATGTTTCTTATCAGCATAACCTAATTTTTCTGTATTTATTTCTAGTGGATTTATGTATTCAAAACACACTCGCTAGATAGACATAACATGAGGCAAAGTTTTGGTTCGACCCAGTCAGTGTTTCCAATTTTTCGTAATGAGTAGCTGTTTTTTTCCCACCTACTCTAGTAACCTCGAGGGGTTATTCTACATTCGAGTATTAGTAGGTGAGCTCACGGGGCTCAAACCTAATGACGTTGCTAACACGAACCCTAGCAAGAGCCGTGCTTCGCAGAATCTACCACCGGATCGGAAACGCGACCCACTGAGAAGATCCGGCGAGAAACTCAGTGGGCTGTGTCTGTGGGCTAATTTACTCGCCGAGCCCTTCGTCGCAAGCGACTGGTTCGACGAGAACGATGACCGGTGCTTGGGGTACCTAAAGACACCGTTAATGGATCGGGAGGATCCGAGATGACGTAGCTCTTCTGTCGCTGCTGATTAGCAGATTAGCATAAGTAGTATAACATAAGAGCTAATAGGTATTTAACATAGGTATTTGCTTAAGTTATATTAATAATTTACCAGATGAATCGTAGGGCACGGATCTCCTATTTCTTGACACCACAGGATCATCAACCAAATCGCTTGCTTTCCCTATTACCCTAGAAAGAGGATCTGTGAAGAAGAAAAAATAGATTGATGTGTATATACAGAGATAGATATATACACTCGACGTGTAGTCTACGCCTGAATTCGTATTACGAATTACAACACTAATAGTCTTAGTCGTCAGTTTTTTTTTTTCAATTTCTCTACAAGTACATAATCAGGTAAATGAAGGTTTGCGTGAGGTTGTCAGTATTTGAACTGTTAAGTCCATAATAAAGATAATGCTTACCAAATTTTATTGACACGCCGGAGGCCACATAACCTGAAAGCATTCATGTAAATAAGTACTATAATTTGAGATTAAAAACATTTCAATAACTAAATTATATAATATAATTAAACGATTTTTTAATTTTTTTTTATTGCATATATGTTTGGACGAGCTCACAGCCCACCGGGTGTTAAGTGGTTACCGGAGCCCACAGACATCTACAAGGTAAATGCCGCCACCCACCTTGAGATACGAGTTCTAAGATCTCAGTGTAGTTATAACGGCTGTCTCACCCTTCAAACCGAAATGCATTACTGCCTCACGGCTGAAATAGGCGGGGTGGAGGTACCTACCCATGCGAACTCACAAGTGGTCCTACCACAAGTCTGGTTATTTAATAGTGTGTATTAATGAACTGGTCATAAGCTCGTCGATCTTATATGGCAGTTAAATAGTCAATTTAAGTCAGAAAATTGATATATATGTTTTTCTGACTTTTTTAAAGTCAGAAACACATAAATTTTTAAAGTCCATCGTGTTGTAGAGAGTTCATACCGGTGCCCGTCTTGAGAAATTAAGTCTCAATCACATTCTAAATACACAAATTAGTTGGTATGAAACGAATCAGTGGATTCAGTGTACCACTTTGAGATATAACTTCACTGTTGAATGAATTGCAAGCACTAAATAAAAATCAAAATGAAAAACTTACCATCAACCCAGAATATGAATGTCGATAACAGTAGCACTGCTAGCACTCCGTAATGTTTGGGATCCATTGTGGAGGGAAAGTGTGATGAGGAGGATAATTTGTTGGTTTATATATTCCAAAAACTCCATAAAAATGCGACGTCAGATTAAAAATTCGTGACTGATAAACGTGACTGATAGATATAAAGTTTATTATTTCTTCGGTATCTATTGTCGTGATTGTCATTAAAATTTGCACTTATTATATCGTATTAAAATTGTACATAAAAAAATAAAGATGGGCTATATATTGAAGAGCCTGTTTTTAAACCTTTTAAAAGAAGGCTAAGTGGTAAGTCAAGTTAATTGTGTATTTAATTTCAATATTTTTTCTTACTGGTGGTGTCTTGTAAGCAAACATTGGTATATACCCCTTTTACCACAACAAACAACCTTTTACCACATATTTTAGCGTTTGTTTTCTGTCGCCGAGCTGGGAGGTAGGGGGAGGTTTTTCTCCGACTTTTTTTATGGCTGAGACGGAATCGATTTACTTTAGTAAATCAGATTCTCGTTCCATTCATTTTTAGGAATAATAACGCACTAGTGCTCTGCTCGTTGCTATTATTATAAATATTTTTTAAGGTCCACTACACCGTCTAGACGATACCTACAGTACTGCATAGTGGGCGCCGAAGGTCTGGCTTCGCCGGTACCCGTCCCATCAATTTCGTCCCCGGAAATTTCTCGAAGGACTTCGTCTTGGGAGATACACAGAGGACGGCATACAGGACACACCTTCCTGCGTCTCACCACCGGGTTGACAGCCAAGCACAAGACGCACCCGCAGTCGGAACCCAACAGTCCCTATAGGAACTGAGCGGGAAGTTTGGCACCCACGCCACCTACCCCGCCTTCTGCTCTGAGCTCTTTCGAAGAGCATCATCACCTTTTAATATAGCCGCAAAGACCGCATTTGTGATTAGTCAATCGTCAGAATCACAAATTCAACACCAATCACCGGTATTACCTTCTCCGCGAATCCACTAAAGCTAGAAATAACCATAGATAGCTACTTAAAGTAAGTAATGAGGATATGACGGATCTAATACAAATTTCAAAATAATTAAAAGGAGATAAAAGTTCCGAAGGATTTATTTATATTAAACAAACATCCTAGCATACAGTTATACTACGGTTAGATAATTATTTGTGAAACTGAGTACTCAAGTTGAGCCATCAAGTTGAACCATCATAGCTAAGCTATGCAATTATGACTCCAAAATGGATAGTGCTAGTCAGATTATGGGTTTATTAATGGGTTCTGTTACTCCCCTAACATCTAGCCGTTAACTCATATATCCAATTATAGTAATATTAATATGAATCTAATAGAAATAAATATAAAAATAGACGCATCTGGAGGTATACGCCGGCCTATATAGCGAAAGTTGAATCAAGTAATGTATGTAATATTTCTACGAGCGTATTTCCTTAGAATCTCGATATGAATGTAGACATCTTGGCTTTATGACTAGTGAACGACCTGCCGATTTCAATATACCGTATTCCCCCGTTTTCGCTGTCGTATGCACGCCATAATTCTGTGAAATATCTTATTATTGGCATTTGTTTCAATACGCTCTTATATTGTTTTCTTTTATAGTTCATCGAAGTCCTTGTTTTGTTTCTAGTTGCGTTATATTAATTAATAATCCATTATTATTGGAGTTTACTCCTTAAGAATCGATTTACATATATAGGCCCGGGGTATGAAAATTATGGGGACCAAAATCGTACTAGAGAGTATAGCATGTCACACGAAATGCGTTATGCGCCTGATTGGCTCCTGATTGCGTGATGCGTGCGCGCGCCAATCAGGAGCCAACGCGCGGCCGCGTTATCGCAGGTGACGCCGGGCTGCTGCGCCGGCAGTCCGCCACAAAGCCTCGTACTGATCGCGCGTTTCTCTCATTATTGTATTTTCATATATTTGTTAGTCGTTTGTTTTGTGTCTCGTTAATTTGTTAATAATCTGTAGTGTATCGTGTTGTCGTAATATAGAACTATTTCTCGTATTGTTTCGTTTAATTTACCGACATCGTTTTGCTTGTGGCCGGACGCCGTTCGGGTTCGATTCCTGAACGTATCAACTGTTAGTGGGTTGATACCCGAATATAACCCGCTACAAATCATTTATTAATAAAGCTTATTAAATATAAACAATTCCTTCTATCAGTGAATGGACAACTTATATATTAATTGTAAAAGTGAATTATATAGACTTACTTAATTACCGCATCCACGTGTTCCGCAACTCCCGGATCATTCTCACTAGAATACGTAACTTCCATATTTTACTGTATTCAACTGACACAAATTTATATTTATATCCAGTAAACTCCAGTCGTGCGTCGGAGCGGACACACACACTTTTTTTAAAGATAGAGTCAAAGAAACACAGTGATTTGAAGAAGTTATGAAATCTACATAGAAAACTCAACTTGGGAATATTAGTACATAGTACAATTAATAAGCTCATACGGGTAGTTTCTATAAGCCTGTTTATTTCTGCCGCGAAACAGTCGTATGCTCCAGTTTGAAAAGTAACCAGTGGCTATACAATAGAATCGAAATTTTGAGCTCGGTCTTGAGGGGGTAACAGGGTACATGTGGTAACGTATATGTATTCCGGTATCTATCTTGTCCAGCCACAAGTTCTGTTACAAATGAAAATGCATTTTTTTTAAATGAAGTGATGTAATATTATTAAAATGTATACCTACATATTTATTAAAGTATCAGCAAGATATAAAAAAAAAAAAACTATTCGAAATGGCCACGTTTGGCTTTTATACAGACCTTTAATCTGTTTGGCCACGAATCTATGGATCTACGCACTGTTTCCTAGGGAAATTTCGCCACCACTTGCTTCAAAGATTTTTTAAGAGACTCATTGTCGCCGTGTCGCTTAGAGTAGGCCATGTCCTCTAAAACTGACCATAATTTGAAGTCTAAAGGGTTGAGGTCTGGGCTAGATGAGGGCCAGTCTCCTGCTCTTATAAAGTCAGGAGCGTTGATTTTAAGCCAGGCTTGGGTAGTTCGTGCCTTGTGACCAGGTGCAGAGTCCTGCTGGAAAGTCCACGGTAGATTTTTCAAAAGTGTATTTACTGAGAGGCTTCACAAAATGATCTGAGACTGTATCTTGATACACTTTGGCTGAAGTTTTCACTCCTTTTTCACAAAAATGTAGTTTTGTGATTCTTTGATGAGACACGCCTCACCAAACCATCACTGACGCAGGATGATGACCACCTTTCCGACCACTTGAGCTGCTTCTTTAGAACTGTGAGCTTACACTTTATCATTTTGCGTATTGCAGTGTTCTTCAATCGTGAACATTTTTTCATCGGCGAAGAGGATATTTCTGTGTCTTTCACCTGCGTATCGCGACAGAAGGCGTTTTGATCAATCTACTCTCTTTAATAGTAAAGTTTGATTTAGGGCATGTCCTGTATATCGACGATAAGCACCGAGCTTCAGGTCTTGTTTTATAACACGTGACAGAGTCCTAGTGGTTAAAACTAGCAGGGTGACATACATAACGATAAAAGGTAAGAAGGAAAAAAAAAAAGCCATCTACGAGCTATTTTTGCGTGCGCCGCAAAAACCGTTGGAGTTACACATATATAATGTAAAATGGAAATGTTTATCTCAAATTGTCCTACAAAAAAACCCGATGACAGCATATATATATACCTAGTCAGGTCATAAATTCTGTCACATGTTTAATGTAAAATAATTGAAACAAGTTTATTCATTATGTAACCATTCATATACCAAAATGAACTTAACAAAACATAGATTCTTATGACACTAAAGTTTATTCAAAATGACCTCCGTGATTTTGAATACAGGCCTTCAATCTGCGCGGCCAGTCGTCTATCGCAGCACGAACGAGGTCCATGTCAATATCGGCGGCTGCCTTAATCAAGGATGTCTTGAGTGACTCCAAATTGGGATGAGGCTTTGAGCACGCCTTTTCCTCCAAGTGTTGCCATATCTTGTAATCTAACGGATTCAAATCTGGACTGGAGGAGGGCCAGTCTTCGTGCCGGATGAAGTCGATTTCACGCGCCGCCAGCCAGTCTTGTGTGCTCTTCGCTCTATGAGCTGGCGCCGAATCTTGTTGGAATACCCAGTGCCTGTTATTGAACATGGTATGAGAAACAGGTTCCACAAGGTTCGTCAGGACTGTATTTTGATACACAACTGCATTCGTTTTTACACCTTTCTCACAAAAATGTACCTCTGTTAAGCCCCAATAAGAAACTCCCAACCATACCATGAGCGAGGATGGAAAATGACCTCGTTGGACACGCGGAATACGGTTGCTCGCTTCTTCACTACTGTGTGCGTACACCTTATCATTTTGTTTGTTGTAGCTCTCTTCTACGGTAAAAATTTTTTCATCCGAAAAAAGAATTTCCCGATATTTTTTTCCCGCGTACCGCTTCAACAAAGCGCGGCATCTCTTCAGTCTCAGGTCCATTAGACGAGCATTCAAACGATGTCCTGTTTTTCTTCGATATGCCCGAAGCCCTAAGTCTTCATTTAACACCCTTTTCACCGTGGTTCTGCTTAACCCCATCTGAAGGGCCAACAGTTTCTGCTTACGTTTGGGATTTCTTTGAATTCGCGCCTTCACAGCTTTTATCACTGCTGGAGTCCTAACAGACCGAGGGCGACCACTTCTTGACCTGTCATCTACACTAGAGTCTTCATTGTATCGTTTGATGGTACGATAAACGAATCTTTTGGTTATATTCAAATTTTTCAGTATGTTAAAAATTTGAATTGGCGCGTAACCGCAACGATGCAGCGCAATAACTGCAACACGGTCTTCTTTAAGCGTCCACTCCATATTTAAAAATGAGTAAAATTCTAAAAGTATACATTTTTATTTTCATGAACAATTCGAAATTCGAATTCAATAAACTTTTTTGTGGCCAGCATTCTAAAAGAAAAGTTTTTACTGTGTGACAATACTTATGACCTGACTAGTTATATATATATATCTTTTATTTGTATATAATCTTTTATTTGTAAGCCATTATTGCCAAAATAGTGAAAAATTAATATGAGAAAAAGAAAGATTAGATTTTTTGTTTATTACATCATTTTTTATTGTGTTTGTTACTGTCAGGATCAGATTTGTATAAAAGAATATTCAATAAGATCAATAATAAATTACAGCTCCCGAAGCGGAGCGAGGGCGGGTCGCTAGTCTATATCTATACTAATATTATAAAGAGGACAGATTTGTTTGTTTGTTTGTTTCGAATAGGCTCCGAAACTACTGGACCGATTTGAAAAATTCTTTTTCCATTAGAAGCCGACATTGTCCCTGATGAACATAAGCTACTTTTTTTTGTTATTATTATTTTTTATTTTTTTTTGGTTTTTATTTGTGTTTTAATGTTTCCGAAGCGAAGTGAGGGCGGGTCGCTAGTCTAGTATATACATACAACAGGAATTCTAGGTTTTACCATTACAACAAAAAATATTTAATTAATATTAATCGTATCTTTTTAATTAACACAATTTAACATAATATTCTACTTATTTATTGATACTAACATTTATTAATCAATTAAAGTTCTTTGTTATAAGTTGTGCGTAGAAGATTAAACAGTTGGTAGGAGAGACTGCAAATCTGAAAAAAATTAAATGAATGATAAATTAAACAATGAAAACAATTATTAAAGAAAAGCCAGAATAAAAATCTTACATCTAGTAGAAGTACGTGTAATTTCTATTAGTAAAAGCCTAATTGCATTTACTCTAAAATAAAACAAAACATTTATTTGACAAGGTTGT